TTGCTTTTCAAAGCAATGCAATACATGTCTGGTAAGGGGAAAAAAAAAGGTATATTTAAATACTGGAGGCTGGATGCAAAGGTGCTTTGGCACAGGTTCAGCAAACCCATTTAGGCCACTCTATCTCCTTAGGTGTCTGCTTTCCCACTGAAGTCACGGGGAAGTCAGGAGCTCAAGTCCTGTGGTGAACCTGAGACTTGTGTTGATTCCTGCCCTCTTAGCAAATTGTGCTGGAGGGAAGAAGGGTGCTGACTTCAGTGGGTTGGTGTTTCTAAAACATAATCCCATGCTGGTTTAACTCATTGCAGTCTCGTCTCTTTTTTTTTTTCTATCTTTTTTTTTTTTTTTTTTAAGGAGAATTTTTAAAGTATTATTTAGAAACCCAGACTTTCAGAGGTTTTCAAATGTACCTGATGTGCACTCCTCTGGTGATGAGAATCACCTCAAACCACTGGGGCGTAGGGGACCAGCTACACGCTGCCGTGCTGATCGATGAAGGGAGGTGGGATTGTTACCGTAGCTGCTGCCACCCCAAAGTCCCCTCCTGCAGGGAAGGTTCTGTGGTTGTAGGCCATCCTGCTGCAGGGTCAGCCAGGCATTTCCCTGCCAGTACTAGAGGAAAAAAGGCAGCAAAACAGACCCCTTCCTTTGCTCTTGTCCCACCCTGGGGAAAACAAAGCTGCCTTCTCTGAAAGGCTTCTGCAAATTGATGCTGTTGATAAATTTCCCATCGATTTGGTGCTTAGCTCCAGGTGCATCATTATTCACTTTACAGTAATTTTTAATTTCCTAAAGTACAGCTGGATTTAGCTATTAACACTTGACTTACGAGGCTTAATACTCTCTTTGGATGTCAGCTGTGCAGACACATGACTTATGAAATAAGCTACTGTACTTGCATAAACAGTGCAACTCCCCCGGTCCCTGAGGCCAGCGCAGCACATCGATAATACAGATTATGCATCTGACTAATACCTGTGTGGCAAAGACGCAGGCTGGCGAGGAAACACTGAGCACAAGGCCCAGGGAAACACCTCTCTCTGCTTTCTGGCAGCTAAATTTGATCCTATTTTATGCCGGTAATTTTTAAGCAGCTTATGCTGCTGTGAACGGAGTGTTTTGCTCAGTGGGGCAGGCTGGCCCCCGGGCACAGGAGTCGCCTGGGCTCCCTCCTGTACTCATTGCAGTGATTATTGATTTTTTTTTCCTTTTTTAAGGAAAAAACATCTTTGGAAGGAAGGAATGAGGATATGGAGGAAGGAAAGAATGAGGAGCAAATGCTTGTGAATTAAGTTTTATAAACTGCTGGCATTTGTTTGGTTTGGTTTGGGTTTTTTGAAACAATCTCTAAAGTGATCATAGAATCCCAGACTGGTTTGGGTTGGGAGGGACCTTAAAGCTCATCCAGTTCCAACCCTCCTGCCATCAGCAGGGACACCTTCCACTAGACCAGGTTGCTCAAAGCCTCATCCAACCTGGCCGAGAACACTTCCAGGGAGGAGCAGCCACAGCTTCTCTGGCCAACCTGGGACACTGTCTCACCACTCTCACACCAAAGAATTTCTTCCTCACATCTCATCTCCATCTCCCCTCTGCCACTTTCAAGCCATCACCCCTTGTTCTGTCACTCCCTGCCCTTGTCCAAAGTCCTTCCCCTCCCTTCCTGTAGCCCCTTCAGGTACTGGGAGGCCACTAGAAGGTCTCCCCGGAGCCTTCTCCTCTCCAGGCTGAACAGCCCCAGCTCTCAGTGCTGAGCTGAAGATGTCTGGAACTGGTACTAAACCAGAGGCTGGGGAGGTTTGTAGGTGTTTTGGGGTGAGGGTGAAGCAGGAAGGAGAGATCAGCCCAGCACCTGCGCGGCGGCCGGGCCGCGCCGTGGGAGCACCGTCATCCCTGGCAGCAGCAGGGCGGCTCGCCTCCGCGCCATCTGTGCCCGTGGAGCAGACAAACCCCAGATGGTTGGCAGGAGGGGTTTTTTTTTTTTTTTGCTCAGGTTTTCCTTTTCATTTGGCTGGGTTGTGCTTTGTTTGGTTTCGAGCTGCTGTTCGATGCAAAAGTGTTTCCTGAGGAGCTCCCCCAGCTCCTGCTGCACCCAGCGCTGGTGCCGAGGTGCCCGTAAGCTCCAGGCTGGAGTTCAGCTTCCCACAATCATTCCCAAATTTAAACCATTTTATAAAAGGAGTGGAAGCCTCACAAAAAAACCCCTGTGTCTGTCATTAAATGAGCGTTCCCTCTTACATGGATGCTTGATGCTGGGGGATGATGAGCGGAGGGGAGGGGGCTGCTTGCTGCAGAGAGCCAAGAGGGGTCAGTCTGATTTTTAATGGTTGTTATTTTTTAATGTTATTTTTTAAATCCAGTTAACTTCCCTGTATTGCTTTGAGGGGTTTTTTGTTGTTGTTGGGTGTGGGTTTGGTTTTTTTTTTGTAGTTTTGGTTTGGTGTATTTTTTTGGTTGGTTTTGTTGTTGTTGGGTGTTTTTTTTGTTGGGGTTTGTTTTTTTTTTGTTTTTTTTTTTTTTAGTTTTGGTTTGGTGTATTTTTTGGGGGGTGTTTTTGTTGTTGTTCTTTAATAAATAGAGAGTGTTTCCCTCCGTGTTTGCAGAGCTGGAAAGCAGTTAATCCTTGCCCTTGGTTTCTGTGCCATTGCTGCCTGCGCTGGCATGGAGGGTTCCCTGCACTGCAGTCACATGCCTGCTGGCCAGCGGCCAGGGCAATCTGATCTCTCTCTGAGGAAACACTATCAGTTGCAGATGCAGCCAGGGTTACCAGAATAGTAAATAACGAATCACAAGACTCAAGAGTCGTATCTTTTCAACAAAAACAAATATTTTAATATGTTGGGTTTAGTACAGAAGTAGTTTCTTTTTTCCAAACAGCCGAGCTGCAGGAGGTTTGGCTTGGGTTAGTTTGCATACGAAGGAGAAATAAGCTGCATTTCACGTTAAGTTGTTCAAAATATCTTCAGCTTCTCAAGTCAGCTGTGTCTGGGAGGTGTAACTTTCAATACTTGTTTTGAGCTTTGAAGTCCCTAGACTTGGGGGTTTCTCCCTTTTTTTTGGGCCTCTTTAACATCCACTCCAGTTAATGGGCTGTGAACAGAAAGCTTTCCCATAATAATCCCACCTCTAGTCCCAACTCGGTACTTCTAAGGCATGAAATCCTGGTGTCCTGGTGTCCCTCCGGTTCCCCCCAGCTGCGTGTCCCACTGGTGTCCAACCTGGTAGGACTCTTGTGCCCAGGTCCATGACCAGGCTGTGTGTTCCTCCCAAGAGAGGACCAGCAGCAGAGGGTAACGTGGAGCAGCTCTGAGACTGCTCTCGACTGGCCCAGCAAACAGCAAGCCCCAGTGCCATGGGTCTGGTAAGCGCAAAGGGAACTTGACTTTCCCCATCTCCATCCCATTCACCGTTTTCTAGTTTTCCCATCGTGCTTGTGACAGTGGAGTGTCTGACAATCTCACCTTTAAGGAACACAGGGTGGATTTTCACTGTTGTGAACACAAGATGGATTTTTTATTTCAGGAAAACTGACAGGAAAAAAAATAAGGCAGAACATGCCACTGCCCCCCTCATTCCCTTTCTTGTTGAGCATTCCTGGTGACTTGGGCATGGTCACCATTGCCACACTTTGGGGAGCTGCTGTGAGGGTCTTGTCACCACACAGCTGCTTTTTCCTCTGCCAAATAACCAGGGAATAACTCCTTCCTCCCCAGAGCGCCGCTCGTACTGGCGCCGTCGTGTGCTGCTCCGCTGCTGACATGCTGGGCTCTCACGTCCGAGGGAGTTTCACTTTAAACACTAAACCACAAAAGATTTGGCAGCTGCTGCTGGAGTGTGTTCTCCTGCCTGATGTGCACAGCCATTGCTTTACTTCTGAAAGCGTCTGTAAATTTTTAGAGCAACATATCCAGAGAAGATCTTTATAAATCAGGGGTGGTACTAGGGATAATGGGATAACGTAAATCTTTGTCTTGTAAACAAAAAAAAAAAATCTCTTCTAGAAAAAATAGTGCATCAGGGGAAGAAACCTGGATTGATCAGTCATTTCCTTTGTTGTCTTGTTTTTTTCCAGGCTTACATTTGTACTGTGATGAAAATACAGGTTCCCATAGTGTCATAACACAGGCATTGTACTTAAAACTGTAATGGAGTTAAGAGGAATTTAACAGTAATCTGAGGAGTTTTTATCTGGTGTTTTATTGCTGAGCCAAAGTATTAATCATACATTTACTGTCCTCTAGAGTCAAAAAAGATGTGGGTAGGTGCATAATCCTTGAAACCGTGGGATAACTTTGACTCTCAGGTGCTTTATTTAAAGCTAAAGAAAGTAACCTGGTGCCTGTCTCTACAAAGCCACAGTTTGGTGGGTTTGGCCTGGACATACACCAGTTTTTTAAAGCAAGGAGGAAGTGAAGGTGTTTTTGTAAGTCAGATACACGTAAACTTGCCCTAGTCATGAAATCGAGCAGAACTATGGAGGATTTACATGTGTTGGATTCAGTGGAGAGAAAGCAGGGAAATAACAACAACAAAAACTGATTCATTTCAGAATTCATTCAGAACAGGGAGCTCTTGACTCTGGACAGTGAATGTTCCTGTGTTTGGGATCAGTTTAGGTAGATGCGTGAAGAGCCTGTGAGGCTCAACTCTCCAAGGTGGAAGGGTGAATTCATGGTATTTCATGAACAACGTGGTTTGGATAATGGCTGATGTGAGAGATGTTGTTTCTGATGGAAATGACAGCTGGGACTAACTGTTGCAGTAAATTCGTTGGGTTGGGATCTCCGCCTTTCTTTTTTTAATTATTTTTTGGTTTAGTCTTCTGGATTTTTTGGTTTTGTTTTCTAGAACGACTATTTGCAATCTCTACACCATGCCACGGATTGGGGAACCTGTCTGGCTTACTATGATGTCGGGGACACCAGAAAAGAACCAGCTTTGCCATCGCTTCATGAAAGAATTCACTTTCTTGATGGAAAATGCTTCTAAAAACCAGTATGGTGGATTTGAGTTCTTACATGACATATGTGTTTACACCTTTGTTATTTCAAATCAATTTTTTAATCTGTTTTTAAAATCCAGATAATCAAAGAATCAAAAGACCATCCATAAAGATTTTCTTTCTAGAATTAAAAAAGAAATAAGGAACTATCTCATTCAATGCTTGCTCTCCCACAATCCTCTAAATCTGGGTAGAGGCTAAACATTTGAAACGTGTCCATAGGAAGCGCGTGATGGGTGTGTACGTCTGGAAAGGGGTGAACATACCTTATGAAATGCATTAATCTGCCTTTCAAAATCAGTTATCATATGATGAGCAAGGTTAGACGTTCAGTAAGAGCCGTGTCTGGTGCTACTGTCTGACCACAAATTGCTCTTAAACCCGACTTCTGTAAGATGCCACTGAAGAAATGGTGTGTTTCGTTAGCACTCACCTTTCTGCCCTCAGGACAAAGCCGTGAGGGGTTGTTAGAAATGGAGAAAGAAAACGTTCTTGATAAACTCAGGAGAATCTGATAAATTTATTCTTTTGTCAACACTTCATCCTCATTCCCCAGGGCATGAATAAGGGAAGTTTTTTAAAGCGTTTGGCTCCATTAAAGTCCTAAAACGAGCACAAACATGTGAAGTTTGAGTGGGAATGGCACTGAAAGACCAGCTGTTAGCTCCAGGGAAGCCGCTCTCTGCTGCTTCTCACCATCTTCCAGCTTTGCCACCAACTTTGTCATCTTTTCCTTCCCCCAGACTATTAGCAGTCAGCGTAGTCCACATTCTCCTGCCCCAGTGCAGTGGGAGAAAGCGCAGGGAGTTGGGAGGGGTTCAAATGTTTTCTCTTCAAATCAGTTCCCACTGCTGTGGAAGGTTATTCCTGGGATTAGTCCCTTTGGTCCCGGCCACTCTGAGCCCTTGATTACATTTAAATGGTCATTTGTTGGGGTTGGTTTACTTGTTTTATTTTAAATATAGTCAGATTTACACTGATGGAAGCAAGAGGAAAATCAAGCCCCAGTATCCTTTTCAATCCAGTTTGCAATCTGTTTTTCATCCTTTAGCTATCTCCAGTGAGGAAATGGGGCTAAATTTCAGCTGTAGGGTTCTTGATGCTTGAAAACTATTCAAATAACATGATTTTGAGGCTCGGTGATGTTTGACTGGTTTCCTCCCAAGGTACCTGAGCCTCTGCAGCGGCCGCCAGCACCATCTGTTGGCATGTGCAAGGCTCTTGGGCTGCGCTGCTGCACGCTCCTCCTGCCAGGAGAAGGGACTGGGGAGGAAAGTCTTCCCTCCACAGAGCAGAAACCACGCTCTGTCGTTACAAGAAATCAGATAATGAACTCACATTTCTTTTCAGAAAGGTTTTTTTCACCTTACTTGCTTGAGTGAGTGAAAGCTGTTTCGCTGGTGTAAGGACACCATCTTTCTGGCCGAGTTGTCTTTCTCTTATTGGTGGTATTAGGGAAATTTGGAGGTTATTTTTTAAAAGGAGCAGCCCTATGTGCTTAAATTGCATAACAGTTATATGAAAGAGCACAGCACCCAGCTATTTTACAGATTTGGTAGCAATAGCTTTCGTTCTCATCAATAGTCAGAGATCTTAAGGGTCTGTGATCTCCTCCTTGGAGTACAGAGGCCACAAAGTGCCACTGGTTTCTAACAGCAAACCAAGTAAGTGGGTTTTGAGATGTTTTACAACATAAAACTTGCAAAATAGGAAGTCTCATAATTCTTGCTAAAGAGAGGAACTGAGATGCCACAAGTTGAAAATATTTCATTTGACTTTAAATGTGTGTTCTAAAAAAAGAGCTTTGCAGGGGTGGGGAGGGGTGGTACAGCCCTTCATTCTCTCCCAAAGAACCAAGACTGAAGGGATGAACTCTGCTGGCTTTGTGAGGTTGTCTCTGCAAGCCTTGATCCGTGTAGACCATAGAACTGCTGTCAGTTTAACATCCTGAGTGTGTACCTGGAAAAAAAATGATGTTGAACATTTTGCTTGCAGGTTTTTACCAGCTTTACTGACTGCAGTCCTGACTAACCACCTGGCCTGGGTCCCTACCGTCATGCCGAAGGGATGAACTCTGCTGGCTTTGTGAGGTTGTCTCTGCAAGCCTTGATCCGTGTAGACCATAGAACTGCTGTCAGTTTAACATCCTGAGTGTGTACCTGGAAAAAAAATGATGTTGAACATTTTGCTTGCAGGTTTTTACCAGCTTTACTGACTGCAGTCCTGACTAACCACATGGCCTGGGTCCCTACCGTCATGCCGAATGGCCAGCCGCCGATAAGAATCTTCTTGGAAAAGCATTCATCCCAGAGCGTGGACATGCTGGCCAAAACTCATCCCTACAACCCTCTGTGGGCACAGCTCGGTACGTGGCAACCATCTCTAAACCATCCAACAGCTTTACATCAGTGGGTATGCACGTGGTGGTTATTCTGGATGCTTGTTATTTTCCCCCACCAAGTTAAATTTATTTTTTTTAATTCAAAATGAGACAAAAATGTGTATTTCAAGCTTAGAAGTGGTCACTCTTTTATTTATTTATATATATACTTTTTTGTATGGGCTCTAATTTCTTGAGGCATTATCACTTATAAAATGGCAGCCAAAAAGTAAAGCCTTCTTTAGTCATCTGTGGCAAGTCCTTAAGGTCACCTGCCCTGGTGATGATGGAGGATTCCAGTTCTCTTCTGGTCCTCTCTTTATACTGAAAATCAATTTTTATTTTTTTGGGGATGCTGTTATCCATAAGTTTGGTTCTGGAAAAAGCAAATCAAGGAAATCCATCGTTTGATGGGAAATGAACATACTCTCCATACAGCAGGCAAAGGAGCAGCACATGACTAGGCAACCCCCTAGGTAAGGTCCCAACACCTAGTTGATTGAATAGCTAATCATACTGCCTTCTGATTGCTGAGTAGAAAAGAAGAGATGAGCTTCCTACTTTCTGGTCAGATGGTCCTGCTCTGCACACCAGCTCTCATGGAATTTGGTTAGGGAAGGGAAAGGAAAGTTTTGGGAGGTTTCCCTATTCTGGTATAGGCAGGAATGGCCAGGGACTTGGCAAGAAGATTTGATTTCAGAGCTCATGGGACTCTGGGGATCCCCTGTGGTGTGGTTGGCCTTTGAGGCCTCTTGGATCCCTTGTCCTCTCATCCCTGCATTCATGCAGTGCCCTAATACCTCCAGAACAACACATGCACAGGTACTTCCCCAGGTAAATCTGGAGTACAGTCAAAACAACCCATCCAAGCCATAGTAGAGCTCAAGGGGAGGGAAGAGAAGGTGGTTGACATCAGCTATGCACCCGCCACTGTCACTTTTTGTCCTCGTTCTTGGCATAGGTTTGTTTCTCCTTACAGCTTTCTCTTGGTGGGTAAAAGTTCAGACCAGTTTCCAGACTATCCAAGGTAATTCAGAGCAGATGCCTCCTCTCTCCCATGGCTATATAAGGAACCCAGGAGATGAGCTTCCAAAGCTAGGCATGGAAGTGAGGTGATGCGAATGCTCCCTATTATGTGAGATCAGATGTCTCCCTGACCAGCGTGTCACCTTACATACGATACCAACAGCATCTTTGGGATTCTCTGTATTGAAAACAAAATACTAGCATAGCTGTCCTCACTCTTCTGCTTTAGTATTTTTTGTTGTTGGTGGTGGTGGTGTAGACCTGGCTTTTGAAAACTGGCCACAGAAATTGTCTGTTAAAAGAAGAATTTGTTTGAAAGATGTAGAATAATTGTCTGGTTTCTTTTCTGTTCTAGGTGACCTCTATGGGGCTATTGGATCACCTGTGAGATTGGCAAAAACAGTTGTGGTTGGCAAAAGGCATGACCTGGTACAGAGATTGCTTTATTTCCTCACTTATTTCATCAGATGTTCTGAACTTCAAGAAACGCATCTTCTAGAAAATGGGGAAGATGAAGCCATTGTCATGCCTGGAACTGTTATAACAACCACGCTGGAGAAAGGAGAAGTAGAAGAATCTGAGTATGTGCTTGTCACGATGCACAAGAACAGGGGCAACTTGCTACCGACGGAGTCTGAAGAAGTGAGAACTTCTAATTGTAGCTGTAAATATTGCAAATGTCCGATTTCCCTTGCACAAAACATAGAAGGTGTCTCACAGCAAGAGAGAGAAGACAGTCAAAACACTCCTAAGGTAGAGCTGGAATCTTCTTCAGATGAGAACAGAACTATTGTTCCTGATGATTACCAGGAAGATGCTGTTGACGCTAAGCAATCGAGACCCTGCCTGGACACAAAACTAGAGACCGTGGTGTGCACGGGGTCAGCCTCACCAGAAAAACGTGTGGTGACAGAATCTGGTTTGGAGCCAACGGCAGATGTGTGGAGGAACGAGGACTCGTTGGAATCGGGCAACCAGGCGGTCGGTGTAACGAGGTCACCGGGCATCGCGGTGGAAAAGAAGCCACCGGATAAGCTCTTCTGCGATGCGTTTCCTTGCAGTGCTGCCGAAGCTCAGACTAAAGTGACGTTCCTCATCGGAGATTCCATGTCACCCGATTCAGACATCGAACTCAGAAGTCAGGCAGTAGTGGAACAAATTTCCAGGCATCACAGCCCGCCAGCGACGGAGGAAGGAGTGTCTGCTGATCCCAACTGTGAAACTAAACAAACTGTTGAGGACCAAAATAGAGACTGTGGGACAGCCGAACCTTTCCCTCAAGTTGGTAGTGAGCATCAGAGCTGGAATACGAATCCATACACCGCCGAGAGCATGAGTCTGTTTGATGAATATTTTACTGATGACAGTTCAGTTGAAACCCGGACTATTGATGATATTCCAGGGCAAGCAGCTCCAGACCTTCTTGCTCACAACAGTAGTTTAGAGTTTTCTAAAAAGCTGTGTACGAAGGCTAGCAAAGCACCTAGCGAATTTTGTAAATTTATGGACTCTGTTCGACAAGAGACCTACAAAAACTGCTTTAATGAGCAGGACCAAAGAGAGAAAATCTCTATTCGTGTCCCCCATGGGGACAGAGAAAACGGAGAGAAAAAAGTCGCCCCGGGAATTGATTGGGACATTCCAAGAAATGAGAGTTCAGATAGTGCCCTGGGTGACAGCGAAAGTGAGGATACAGGTCATGATCTAACTAGACCAGGTGGTAACTATTATGGAGGAGAGCAAGAAGATTGGGCAGAAGAATATGAGATTCCTTTTCCTGGGTAAGTACTATTCAGCAGTAATAGAGCCTAAAAAAAGATAGAGCCTCTTCTCATGTCACATGGTTGGAGGAATGTAGCTTAACTTGGCATCAGTGGTTGGAAAAGCGTCTCTTGAGCTTGCTGGTTGTAAAAGAATCTAGAGAGATCAGTGGTCTGGAAAAAAAATATATTAATTGTGCATTGTGATCTTGGCTCTTTTCCTTTTCTTCCCCGATGGTCTGACTGCAAGAGCTGAATTTAAACTCTTTCTTTTTAAAAAGTGCTTGAATAGAAGTTACCAGAGCTATGAGAAATGTGAGGATGCAACCTCTGTAAGCGAATTTGATGTTTACTCTTGTGCATCTCTTTGATGTGCCTTTCTTGCAGGTCAAAATTAGTTGAAGTGAACTCTGTCCAGCCCTGTATTGCCAATTTTGGAAGGTCCTTACTAGGTGGCTACTGTTCATCTTACGTCCCCGACTTTGTTTTGCAAGGAGTAGGAAGCGATGAAAAGCTGAGGCACTGTTTGGTGTCAGATTTGTCTCATGCTGTGCAGGTAATTAACTTATATTTGGTAAACGTATTTGTCACAGTGGGGAAAGGCAAATGTTTTTGAATGTACAAACCTGCTGGAAATGGAAGTATTTACTGTCACAGCTCTCTTCAGGTTCCTCTAGTCCCAGGTCACCAATTTTTTTCTTCTCTCCATTAATGTATCTGAAAAATGTGGTTATTTCACTGCAAATCTGGGGCGCAAAAACTTAAGTCTCCCGCTGAAGGCAGCTGAGAGGCTTGTGCCCTTCAGAAGATGGATCTCTGTGCTAAGCTGTGGAGAAATCATCCTCTCCTGCAGACCTGGCAGCCTGCTGATGGTCGCACACCCACGGGATGGATGATGTTAAGCAAGACCAAAGGCTGAGGTGGCCGTGCATCTCCTGGCGGGCGCAGTCTCTCGCTGCAGTGGTTGTGCAGAAGCTCCCTTTGCTCCCTGCTATTTCCATGCACGTCTGACCAACGTACTGCTGCTCGTGGAGCAGAACGTGTTCTCTGAGGTGAAGCTGTCAGGAATGATCAGAATTTTGGGGACACTGCTCCTTTCTTAAGATTGTAGTCAAAGTGTCTGATAGTGCCGGCTCCATTGGAAAAGGAGAAACCGATATGAAGGTAATTGTCCAACAGGGACTCAAACTTCTCACACGTGCTGGAAATCATCTCTTAGAATTGTTTGGTTGGAAAAGACCTTTGAGATCATCGAGTCCAACTGTACCTGTCCACTGCTAAACCAGATCTCTGAGCACATCAGCTGCCCATCTTTTAAATCCCTCCAGGGATGGGGACTCCACCACTGCCCTGGGCAACCCCTTCCAATGCCTCAGAACCCTTTCAGCAAAGAAATTCTTCCTCACTTCCCATCTCAACTGCCCTTTACCCTCACAGTAAAGAATTTCACAGTAAAGAATTTCATATACATATATGAAATGCTTTATGAGAGGAAAACAGCTGAAGGACACAGTGTCCTCCCACAAGGTCTCCCCTCAGCCTCCTTTTCTCCAGGCTCAACACCCCCAGTTCCCTCAGCCGGGAACTCAGCACACTTGTGCTCCACTTCTCCACAGAAGTGGGGAGTTTTGCTCCCTCCGTGGCTCTTCTAGGCGCTGTTTTAAGCCATTGCAGTTTAGAGTGAACGTTTAAGCCGTCTGTGAAGTGTGAGTTGAACATCAGGCAACAGAGGCAGCAGTGGGAGGTAGATGTATCTGAAATGGAACCATACAGCGGTGCGTGTCCATCAGCAGACTTCGACTTCAACTGCAGAAGTCAAAGATTGAGAGGATATGAAAGGATGGAGCAAGATTTTATACATTTATCTTCAAGTAAAATAATAACTGCATCCTGTCCCTGTGTGAAGTCCTTGTGGGACTCTAGAAAAAGGTGATTTCTAACAATCCAGCCCCAAAAATGTACTGGGGAAGGGCACTGGGGTTCCAGATAATCCTCCATGGCTTTAGAGAGGTGAAACGCTCCTTGGAAGGAATGGAGGAGCTGGGTGCAGGCTTGGTTCCTGACTCCCTCTGCTGGTCCTCCCATAGAGGGAAACCAGTGTCAACTGGGAATGAAACCACCCTGTCAGCACAGCCGTGTGGAACAGCAAGTTGGGTTTGTGATACTTTCTATTTTAGTATTAAAAATTATTTATATTTAATATTATT